CACACACACACACACACACACACAATTTATGTTGTGGGATAAAAGAAAATATCCTCTTTTTGTTTAATGTGGAGTTTCCTGGTGGCACAACGCTTAAAGCACTCAGTTGCTAACCAAAAGGTTAGAAACCACTAGCCACTTCACAAGAGAATCGTGTGACCATTCGCTTCCGTTCAGATTCATAGCCTTGGAAACCCTGTGGGGTTTCTGGGTCCTCTAGGGTCTCCATGAGTTGGAATCAGCTCAACAGCGATGAGTGTTGGGGGACTCTTTAATTTTAGACGGCACAATTAAATTTCAAAAGAAAAACACAAGGTTTAGGGAATAGTACTGCATCCATGATATTTTGGATTGCAATTAGAGGGTAAAGAAGGAAGGCAATTACTGTGACTTATGAGCTGTTCTTATATCTGATGAATCCCTAGTAGGACAGATACTTCTTACTCTACATTCACTATTACAGTAGTCATCTTTGTGAGCAGCAGCTTGCGTAGAGTGGCGTCAGAGTTATATATCAGAGTTCTATACAGTGGCTTTTATTGGTTTAAATTAGGTAGCTCATTTAGAGGTAATATGACATGAGGACCTTCGATATTTGACTCCATTTCTCACTTGTAGACATTAGCCTCTTTGATGGCTTTGATTTTTTAGGTCATAATGTTGGAAGTCTTTTGGGTTGCTCAAGTGAGTTATTAACGGATCATTAATTGTGCTTTTAAATAACCTTGGAAAGGTTTGTATTACAATATTAATGGCATTAAGGGCTTTAATTGAAAATTAAATTGTGCCTTAATTAACAAAGTAATTGAGCATGAAGCTCATGTGCATGTGAAATTTTATTAAAGATTACTTTTGGTGCATATGAAGTACTTGTTTATGTTAGAATTTTCCTAAACCATGTAGATCTGAGCAAAGGCCCTTTGTTTTTCTTTTTCTCATTTGAGTGTTGATAATTATGAGTCCATTAAACCTTTGTATACTTGCAGTTGCGAGTTCTAAATCTGGGAAGGAATCTTTTAGAGGAAGTTCCAGAGGAATTGAAATACCTTCCATTCCTGGAGAAACTCCATTTATTTGGAAATAAGATTCGTAGATTTTTACCTGGAGCATGTGGTAAGTTTCTCAAAAGAGAGTAACAGTAGTTTCCAATATAATTTTCCTTACAGGACTAAAGTAAGAAAATAATCTTACATGTTATATTATTTTTTGTCTGCATACACACACACACACACACATTATTTTTGAAACATACAAACTAAACATAAAACATAAAAAAACAAAACAAACAAAACACATCAAACACACTGCTGTCCCTTTGATGTCAATTCATAGCGACTCTATCGGGCAGGGTAGAACTGCCCCTGTGAGTTTCTGAGACTGTAAGTCTTTTTTTTTTTAATCATTTTATTGGGGCTCATATAATTCATCACAATCCACACATACATCAATCGTGTAAAGCACACTTATACATTTGTTGCCCTCATCATTCTCAAAATTCACTTTCCTCTTGGGTTCCTGGAATTAGCTTCTCATTTTGCTTTTCCCCCTTCCCCTCCCTCCCCCCCTCCCTCATGAACCCTTAATAATTTATAAATTATTATTATATCTTATCTTACACTGCCCGGCGTCGCCCTTCACCCACCCTTCTGTTGTCCATTCCCCAGAGAGGCGGTTATATGTAGATCCATGTGATTGATTCCCCCTTTCTACCCCTCCTTCCCTCCTGGTATCGCCACTGTCACCACTGGTCCTGAGGGGCTCATCTGTCCTAGATTCCCTGCGTTTCCAGTTCCCCGCCTCCAGATTCAAGTGTCTGTGTGTTGACTCTGAAGAATGCAATTCAGAAGGTCCACAGTTGAAAACTACTAGCTGCTAAATGGGAGAAAGACGGGAGTAGGAATTGCAGCCCAACACGTACTCACGGTGCCACCAGGGGTCCAACTGCTATACGATCTATCCCCTTACAGATTGCCATACCAAAACAAGCAAGCATTACACGTAGTGATTTTATTCTTCAGAGTCAACACACAGACACTTGACCATAGAGGCTCTATTTCTGAGCCTTCATTTGAAAATCCAATCAAGTAAAGCTCACCTTTTCCCCACCTTCTTATTTATACTCTGTCTCAGTCATAATCCTTAATTTACCTTCGCAGTTTAAATCAACTTTTGGAGAATTTTAAAGAAAAGATACTGTAGATAAAATAAATGGGATTATTATCTTTGTGTTTCTTTTAAACTAATAATTTTTCCATCAAAATGATTCACTTGGGGCCAGAATGTGTGACAGAGATCCAGATGATTTTAGTCACATCATTAACTCGTACAGTGACTATCTGGGACACGCTATAAAATTCATACTGTTCTGTGAGGCTTGGGGTCGTGGGTGCAATTAGATCACTGCCATCTTCAATATAATCTTTCTCTGTTAAGTCATGATTGCATCTGGGTCTAAACCTGAGATTATGTGTGGCAAATAGCACAAATTGATTCTAATATCATCTCTTTAAAGGTACTTTAAACCTTAGAGCATGCTTCTTGGATAAATATGGTAATTGTGATAATGACTTATTGTTACTTCTGCATAATATGAGGAGACTTCAAAAATTCCATGGAAAAATGGAATTTTCCCATGTGTTTTGAAGCCCTTTCACATAGATTCAAGGTACAATTACACATTATTCAGGCTTAGGAAGAAAATGGTTTTTCTTTTTACAAACGGGAAGTTATTAAGAGCCTTTGAACAAATAGACAATAATATTTTATGAACTATATTGAGGGGGCAAACTTAGTGCAACTATATACATACAAATAATGCTAAACATTCTAAATTATGCTTATTTAAGATTCTATAAGGAATTTCTCATGTTAATTTGAGATAGATCACATTTTAATATGTGCATATAGAATATAAAGGAATCGATACATTAGTGTGTTAGAATACATAGCAAATATATATATGTATAATTTGTGTACAGTAGAGTATCCCTTAGTGCCTTTAATTTCTTTATGTCTTGAGTTTGAAGTGTTGAATTCTGTAAAGCTCATATGTTTGATATGAGTTATGTTCTGTATCAGATCCTGATTACCCAGGCACAGAAAGTAGTTTAGTGACAGTAAATTGAGCACCGTATATTTAGAGTATGACTCTAAATAGTTATGTCATTTTATAACCCCTGAACAGAGAGGTTTGGACTAGGACTAGCCAGGTGTCCCAAGCTGGGTTTATCAGATTCTCTTTGTGAGGGGATTGTGGTAGAGTTAAAACAGTTTCATCAATTGTGTTAGTCTGGGTCCTTTAGAGAAACAAATCCACAGAAACTCATGTATAAGAGAGAGTTTTATATATAGGTTAAGTGTGCAACAAGAAAACATCCCAACCCACTGCTGCCCCAGACCACAAGTCCAACATTATTAACCCATTAACCCATATGTGCCAATACCAGTCCACAAAGTCCTCCTCCATCTCACAAAACAGATGCAATGATGCCAACTGCAGGAGGAAAGTTGAGTCAGCAAATGTGTAAACATCTGAGCGCTGGCAAGGGTCTCCACCTGGGTGCTCCAGCACCCAGGGCTGCATTGGGATAGGTCCATGTGGCTTCTCCTTCGGGATATCTTTCAGGAAGTCAGCCTTGCAAGTTGAAGCAGGGAACTGCTAAGGCAGCTGCACCCTGATGCGACCATCACAAAGCAAGAGACCCGAGAACTAGAAAGGCGAGGCTCATCGACCCATTTATCCCTCTGCCCTTCAATTAATCCCACATGTGTTTATCGGCCAGGTTGGCACAATAAACTAACTAACTCATCGATCTAAACTCTAATCACACGAACTGAGGCAGAGGTTGCCAAACTGGTGGGCCATGGACTGAATCTAGCTCACAGGTAGGTTGTTTTACTTTTATCTGTTTTAAAAATATTTGAATTAACCCACTGCCATCCAGTCAATTCCAACTCTTAGTGTGCCTATCACCTAGAACATGATTGTTCCGCAGGGTCTCTGAGACTGTGAATCTTTACAGGAGCAGACATCTTTTTCCTATGGGGCGTCTGGTAGGTTTGAACCTCTGACCATTTGCTTAGCAGCCCAACACATAACCTGACGTGCCACCAGGCTTTCTTACTTGAAAATCAGGAGGTCATACGAAAGTCTGGAGTTGTAATTCTTTTGTTTGTTTGATTTTAAAATGAAAGATTGGTTAACAAGAAATTATATCCCGTTAGACAACAATGGATAGGAGCCGGTTAAGACGAGACACAAGCTCTTCAGTAGAGCATAGCTCTCAGCAGATTCACTGGGCATAGCTGGGTTATTTGCTTGATTCGTGTAGGTCTTTGAGAACCCTAAATTTATGTCTGTGAACATTCAGACACAGAGTTGTGATTGCATGGGGAAATAGAGAAAGTCTGTTCAAAAGAGAAACAAGGAGGGAGAGAGGAAAGGCAAGAGGAGAGAGAGCATGGGTATACAGCTGAGAGAAACAGATGAAACTAAACTGCTTCTTTTGCAGAGTTATGAAGAAAATACACAGGTGGGTTCCAGGTGTCGTTTAGCTTCTAATCCCAGCTGGGGCAGCCTGGCTGTACCCTCTGCCCTCATGAGAGAGCTTTGTGTCCTTGGGACAATCTTCCCCTTTTCACTTAAGCTGGTTTAAGAGGGTTATCTGCAACCCAAAGGGCAGGAAACTAGAAGGGAGACAAAAGTGTACGGACAGGTGATGAAGAATGATCGTTTAATTTATGGCTAAAACAACGGAAATTGTTTTCTAACAGATGGTTTACAAAATTTGGTCCTGCTTAATCTGAACAACAACCTGCTCACGTGCCTCCCTCAAGAAATCCGCAGGTAATTGTGCTTTTTATAAGGCAAGAGGACTCACTATAAGAGTTCCTATCTCCTCTAGGACCCTGCCCCCATCCAGGGCATCTGAAGCATTCTGCCTAGACTCTGGTATGAGCAGGGTTTATGCACAGCAAAGAGGATTCTGAAAAGCGGGAGGCAAGTCACTAATTTTAAGCAGATGATGTCTTAAACACTTCAGAGAAATGAGGAACAGCATGATTTGCTAGTCTTAAGTGTAAAAGTCAGGGCTTTGACACAAAGTCCTAAAGCTGACTCTGTTACTGCCTTCCCAGCTCTGGGGTTCTTGGAGTTTGCTCAGCCCCAGATTTGGGGACATTAAATTTTATTTCTCATGAGTGTTGCAAACCATTTTGAACGTGATAAAAAGGGTAACATAAAAGCCCAGGATTAAAACCAACTTGTCACCTTCAATTTAAAAAACAACACACACAACAAAACCCACATTTCAGTCTCACTAACAACAGCAAAGCATGCTGTTTCCCTTTATCCTGCCCAGCTGCCAGACACGCTGCCATGACAGTGTCTTTCTGGAGCCCGCTGAGGGCCCTGTCTTGCAGGCTGAAGGCCCTCTTGGGCTTTTCCTCGGACAGATGGAAAGAGAGCCTTGCTCAGGTTTACTTTGGAGACACTCTTTATTGCCTGTTGAACAGAAACAGATGTATTATAAGGTAAGAGTATCCAGATTTTGAAAGGACAGCTCAGAACGCTGAACAAGGCTTTCTGAAGCACCTAAAATCAATTCCAATGTGCTTGTCTATACCCTAAGCCAATGTATTATGTTACTCCAATAGCTTTTCACAGGGACAGTAATGCTTTCAGTCCAATCAACTAGGAAAAAAACAAAAAACCAACCATGACGCAATCTAATTTCTACATAAGAGGAATATTAATAGCAATAAAAATGTCACTAGTTGTCGGCTTGCCTTTTCTCTTATTTGACTTGCTTATCAATTGAGTTTTGCATATAAATGTTGCTATAATGAGAAAAACACACTTGGGAAGATCTAAAGCATTAGGTTGAGGTCATACATTTCAGCAGCTGATTTTACGAGTCTTGGCAAGTAACGTAGTGGCTCTGGACTTAAGTTTTCTCATCTCTAAAGGAATACTCTTGAGTAGATGAAGTTCAAAGTCCTTGTAGCTGTAACTTGCTATGCTTTCACAACTCAATGACTGAATTGGGGGTTTTTTTGGATCCAAATACCATATGAAAGAAGTGATATAATTTAAAGTCCTCCGAGTTCAGATATATTTGAAAACTGAATTAAAACTTTCAAAAAGAAAAACTTCCCTGGAAAAAATAGAATTAGGATGAATTTAGGCCCAAGCTGTTCTATGGCTAGTTCTAGGTTATCCGTGCTCTGGTTGTGTGAGCTGACAGCCTATCATTTCAAAAAATGAAACAAAACCTGTCCTGTTATCTGAATTTTCCAAGTCCGATTGTTAGGGCCCATGTTTACAATGTTATTTTGTTTTCTAAAAAGACTTGATACACTTCCGACATTTCTTGCTACCGTATCTGTAAACACACACTCCACCATCTTTCATTCTTTTCTTCCTGTTATTTTCTGTCTTCATTTGGCTGATGGAGCTAGTTTTCTTGAAGACTATGGATGATATCGATACGGGCAGAATTTATGATTGGTTCACTTTCCCATCTTTCGCTACTCAGGGTCCACGTACCTATTTGGTACTGGACAAATGCAGACATAGATGAGGGTGGAGCTAGAGCAGTATTTGGACATGTACTCCTACAGGTATATGCCTACGGAATACAAATGAGATATGCTGTTTTTTATTTTACATTTTTATCGGCAGCTACTCCACATATCCTACAATTCAGCAGTTCAATCGTTCAATTGTATCAAGAAGAATTGTATACTCATTATCACAATAAGAATGAGTTATTCTGAATTTTAAAACTATAGATTCTGATTACATACTATACTCTTAAAACAGAGTATCTGGTTAGAGACGTTCTTTAATAATGACGTTTTAGCTTATATAGTCGCAGCCCTGGGGATTCTTGCCTTCAGTAAGGCTCATGAGCTTCAACACATAAATTGACACGTGACTTCTGAGAAGTGGGATCTTCTGTACGGTGGGTTTATTCTTGTGTTTCATTCATACACTTTGTTTTCTAGATTAAATAATCTTAGATATTTGAGCGTAAATCACAACCGGCTAGCCAGCATTCCTAGAGAACTCTGTTTCCTTGAGAATCTTACTGAACTTCAACTTAACTACAATCAGCTCATTTGCATACCCGAAGAGATTCATTTCTTGACAAAGCTGTGGAAGCTTCTGCTGGTCAGGAACAACATCGAAGGCTTACCAGAGGTAAAGCAATACATAGACCCAGGGTTCCCTTTGTCAGGTAGAAACTCCTTACAGAATGATCGATTGGAGTGTCTGAGTGAACGCCTTTGAGTACTCCCAGCTTGGTTCCTCTTAAATGACATGCAGGCAGTTCCTAAATTCTTTTGAGAGAGGAGGATTATAACTTGTTCTACATACCTGGTGCTGCCACACTTGGCAAACAAAAATACAGTATACTTTATTTTAATATGACTTTTAAATAATGACAATAGTATAAACATGTCCCTACTATGTCTTAGTCTATACTTCAAAGAAAATGCACTGTTTATCTGAAATCTAAATTTAAGTGTCTTGTTACTTACTTGCTAACTCTTTCTTTGGTAGCACAAAATAGAAGTGCATTTTGATTGTGAAATATGTGCTAGTGAACCTCCACTGTCCCTGTCTGTGGTGTGGCAGATGGTGCATACAGCTACTAACTAACTAGGAGGTTAGTGTTTGAAACCATGAGCTGCTCCTCAGGACAAAGATGAGGCTTTCTCCTCTTATAAAGGTGTACAGTATCAGAAACCCACAGAGGCAGTTCTACCTTGGCTTGTAGGGTGGCTCTGGGTCACAGTTGACTCAATGACAGTGAGTTTGATTTCTTGGGCGATAGCACGCTCTGTCCTGGTAGAACCTGTTCTGCTGCCTGGCTGGACCTGCTGGGAAAACAGCTGTGTGTTTGCTTGTCCTCTGACTTCTTGGATGTGATCAATGGACTACATTAGCAGGAAGTGGAAGGATAGGCGGGCGGCAGTACCAGATGGTGTTCTGGGTCCCTTCCCTATCAGGATGTAGAGAGATGGCTGCCCTCCCTTTTTCAGGTCAAAACTAATGTAAGTTAGTCCTTTGGTGGACTACTGCTCCCTCCTTTTGCCTTTGTAGTGGGAGAGCAGTAAAGTACTCCTTTCTACTGTTAGCTTTTGGTAACGTTGTGGATTTAGGAAGCTACCTTTCTTGGTTTAAGGAACCTTGTTTTGCATGCTTTTATGATTGTGCCTTCTTTAAACGCTCATCAAATTTTCTTATTTCAGAATACTGTCTCCTGTTAGGAACCTGTCTATGGTTTTAGATTTTTCCCTTATGCATATTAAAATTTATTAACAAAGAAAAGCATACATACCGATGAAACACATTGTTCCTCTGGTCCCTTGAGGCTTCCTCACACCCCACTATCATGACCCCAGTCCTGCCTTTCACTATGAGCATGTGCACAGGTACTGTGTTAGTCCAGGTAGACTAGAGAAACAAGTTATTAGACACTCATATGGGTATAAGAAAGAGCTTTATATACAAGAGTGGTTGAATATTGAGAAAACATCCCAGCCCAGTCCAGATCAAGTCCATAAGTCCAATATTAGCCCAGATGTCTGATTTTTCTTATTAATCAACAGTGTACATGCTAAGGCATTGCAGAAAACAGTCATTTGCTTTGATAAAAAATTCATACATTTTCAGAAGTTATAACCCAACACAAACCCACTGCCATTGAGTTAGTTCTGATTCACCATGACCCTATGTAGGTTTCAGAGACTTTAAATCGGCAAATCTTTAAAGGAGCAGAGCACCACATCTTTCTCCCTAGGAGAAAGGTGGGTTTGAGCAACTGATCTTGAGGTTAGTACTGCAAAGCTTACCTAACAATGCCACTATAATGAATACTAGTCCATAACTCAAGAATATTCATCTTTAACCCAGTTAGCCTAGTATGTTGTTGGCTCTAAATATGTGGTTGCTTTGTATCAGATCTCAACTCTTTTCACACAGGATAGAACCTTTCAGTTGTTTGGATGTTTGTGCTTCTCATTCTCAATGCTGCTATTGAACTGAGTCTGACTCATATCGACTCTATAGGACAGAGTAGAACTGTCCCTGTGGGTTTCTGGAGCAGTAGATCTTAATGGGAATAGAATGCCTCTTCTTTCTTCTACAGAGCATCTGATGCATTTCAACTGCTGCCCGTGTGGTCAGCATCCCAACAAGTAATCAGCCATGCCACTTCAGTAAATCACCCCTTCCTCTCTATGATCCGTAAGGTCTGGTTAGTGCTGAAGGGACTCACTTGATCAAGTCAGGCTATTCAACACATATCATCACACTGGACATAGTGATTTATTCAAGGACAGGCATAAGATTTAAGCTAAACCAATGATAGGTGACTTTGTTGGAGTAACTGGAAGTAAATGGCTTTGTTATCCTAAAATTACCAAATCCGAAGAATGTAAGCCAACAGCTGCTGTCTCTCTCTTGTCATTCGTTTGTAAGAACCACACTTTCTGGACCCCATTATAAAAGAATTAAATGATGTATCAAACACTTAGAACCAGCCATACAGAATTTTGGCATGCTTTAAAAGGTTATCTACTTATCAATTTATCTACTTGTTCACTTGGGTGGGGTTTCTTTTCACTTACCACCTGAAGAATCCTGACTCTTGAACACATAGCTACATTCCTACAAGGATCTTCATGCTCTGACGCCTCACTTCACCAGTCTCTTGCTCACTTGTGATTGAGCACTTCGAGGCTTCCTGTAGAACCACCTCAACAGCTACGGCCACTTGCTCTTTACCAAAGACTTCTCGTTTCAAAGATCTCAAAGAACCTCAGCTTAAATTTCACTTCTTTCTGGACATTATCAGCTCCTCTAAAATACAACAGCCCTGTTTTCTCCATAACACCTCATCCTGCATCCTTCATTGCCTTTGTCAGTCCCTTAACATTTTTCTCATGCCCCTCCCCTATTTATGAGGTTTTCATCCATGGGTGACTTGTGGCAAATGGACAGAAGAAAAGTCTAAAAAGAAAGCCAATGACAGTAGCAACAACGGTGGCTGCGGTAACAACCACAGAGAAAGACAGAGTAGCGGCGACAGAAGCAAGGATCGCCAGTGTTTTGCAGTAGGATGAAAAAACCTTGCAACGTAGGATTTGGAGAGTGTGAGAAAGGAGTGTATGGGGATTCTGAAGGTCCCTGTAGCTAACATGATGTTAGGGAGAGTCAATGATAGACCACATGTGTTATAGATGCCAAATCCTCTCGGAGGATTGATGGCCCAGTTGTAGGGAATGCTGCAAGTTGCTAGCTCTTCAGCTGTAAATTGCCCACCTCCTTGCCCAGGGTCACATATTCCCTATAGCATTCCATATCTTGTGACTGAAGAAGTTATCGATATAAAGGATGGAACATTTCTCTCTCATGAGAGACAATTTGGATGGTCAATACCATTTAAAAAAATCATTTTATTGGGGGCTTGTACAACTCTTATCACAATCCATACATCCATTGTGTCAAGCACATTTGTACATTTGTTGCCATCATCATTCTCAAAATATTTTCTTTCTACTTGAGCTCTTGATATCAGCTCCTCATTTTCGCCCTCCCTCCCCATTTCCCCCTCCCTCATGAACCTTTGATAATTTATTATTATTTTGTCATATCTCACACTGTCAGATGTCTCCCTTCACCCACTTTTCTGTTGTCAGTCCCCCAAGGAGGAGGTCACATGTAGATCCTTGTCATCGGTTCCCCCTTTCTACCCCACCCTCCCTCCACCCTCCCGGTATTGCCACTCTCACCACTGGTCCTAAAGTGATCATCTGTCCTGGATTCTTTTTTGTTTTCTGACATAGGGAATTTGTGGTCTTTCAAGTTCCTATCTGTACCAGTGTACACCCTCTGGTATAGCCAGATTTGTAAGGTAGAATTGGGATCATGATTGTGGGGAGGTGGGGAGGAAGCATTTAAGAACTAGAGGAAAGTTATATGTTTCATTGTTGCTACCCTGACTGGCTTGTCTCCTCCCTGCGACCCTTCAGTAAGGGGATGTCCAGTTGCCTACAGATGGGCTTTGGGTCTCCACTGTGCACTCCCCCTCATTTACAACGATATGATTTTTTATTCTTTGATGCCTCATACCTGATCCCTTCGACACCTCGTGCTCACCCAGGCTGGTGTGCTTCTTCCATGTGGGCTTTGTTGCTTCTGGTCTAGATGGCTGATTGTTTACCTTCAAGCCTTTAAGGGATGGTCAATACCTGATCCAGGTTTTCCACTCTACTGGACCTGCATCAGGCTTCCACTTCCACCCCCACCCCCCCACTGCTTAATCCTGCTTCATACTACCACCTTCCGTAGGCATGCATTTTTATTAACATCCAGCACCCGGTTTCTATCTCAGCATCTGCTTCCTGAGACCCAACTGTGATAGAATGTGAGAGGCCATGACTACAAAGACATATCCTCTATCCAGTGAGAGATGGGGTGGTCAAAACAAGAGAAACATTTCAGAAACATCTGTAAAAGTGCTTGGGACTGTGCAGTGAATCATACCTGTAGTTTTTAAATTTTTAAACACTTTTGTTGTTTTAAAAGAAAAATTCTGTTCAGCCTTTACTGGTTGGAAGAGATAGCAGAACAGAGATAGACTGTAACCACGTGGTTACTATGGGCAGGCAAACAGAGGCAGTAACCGGTTTATTGCATTCTATTATTTCATGAAGAAAGGGTTCTGTTAGCATAGTGCTAAGCGTGAGCTAAATGAATAATAAATGCTGATGGAATGTATTATAGAGACAGCTTCCTAATGTTAGCCCTGTCTTCTGGTTCGCAATACTTCTACCTAGTTTCATCATCTGTTTTCATGTCCATTGAGTGTTCATGAGTTTCCTAGTGGTAACTTCGTCCATCTACTAACAACTTTATGTCAGAGGTGGGATTTGGACCCCAAGCAGTTTCACTCTCCGCCATGCTGGCATGTGACCCTAAAGTGGCCAGAGGAAAGGTGGAACCCAAAGAATCTCACAGTCTGGGGCAAAGGAATCTCTTTGGGAAAGGTATGCTGAGGATAATCAGGGAATTGAAAAAGATAGTCATCTCCTGGAAGTTTCAGCTTAAAAGATATATGATTCTAAGTGTTAGAATTTTAAAGATATCTTTTTTGTTTTCTGACATAGGGAATTTGTGGTCTTGCAAACTTAAGAATCCTAGACATAGCTGGAAATATTGTTCAGATTTTTCCACCCCAAGTAAGTAAATTTTTTACTATAATTAAAAAAAATAACTGTGTGTATGATGTTGGGAATAGGAGAAATATGGGCAACTAGTAAAACGTCTAGTTCAAACCTCAAATTATGCAAGTTACTCAAAAATTTTGCTTTGCTCTGGAACTTCAAAATGTGCTTGTCCCCACTGTTGTATTTTGTTCCTGCTGAACTAGTTTGAATGAACTGGAAGCTGATTGCTATCACAAATACTTTAATATAGCAGTTATGATTAAATATTATTTTATTACCCACTCTTTTGGGTCACTTTAGATTAAAAAAATACTAATACTTTCCAGAGCATAAATTTTTATCACTTGTAATTAATCCAAACATAACACTTCTGTTAGTTGTTTTAAAGTCATAAACAATGAGCAATACACCTTTTTTCCATTTGGAAATAAATTTTGATTTTGTTTTAAATTTCAAATAACTGAGAAGCAGTCAGTTTCATCAACTTTGAACTTTGGGGGTAAACAAGACAATTTTCTTGTTTCAACTTAAAATCTGAATATATTTGTACATGCAAGTTCACACCCGGATGTAAGTCCATCATTGCAGAAGATAATAAATACTTGCTGATACATTTTTTTTCTGGTCTATGACTTTTAAATTAAGGTTTCAAGTCTTTTGACTCACTAGAATAAAATTTTTCATTGATAACATGGTTCAAGTATGAAAAATGAGTATGTTTTCAAAATCTACCAACAATTGAGTACAACTACTGGCCTGGTTAATGCTGCAAAAGGGTATTAGAAACCTTAATTCTACTTTTTTGCCTTGGGACTCCTTCCCTGACCTCCACAGCAATACCACTTCTGTCATGGAGTAATTGTACCCATTTCTTTCTACCTTCATCTTGCCACGTAACTGCAAGGTTTCAAAGACAAGAAATATTCCTTTTAACTCTGAAAACTGCAGTATGTTGAGGTTCAACTAAAAAATAAACCACTTGTTATTAAATGAATAAATCTTAATAATGCCCTTTAAGTACATTTAACATCGACCCTAGCAACACCATGAATCAACCATGTCTTCTATACAATGGCTCTGTATTTAAAATTTTGATGAAACATTGTTTTTTCAGGTCCCATGAATTTAAATGGATTTTCACAGGATCTGAAGTATTGTGCCTTTATAGGACGTATTTCAAAAATCTGTAGGACATGCTCTGAAATAGGATAGTCTGTGAACTCATCCTACCTTTGGTCTAACTGGTTTAAATTCATTTGTTTTGCATGTTTGATGGTTGGGGCAAATCATGAACATTAGAGGAAAAAAGGCTTGGCTCTATGTCATGCTCTGATTATCAATAATAAAGTAAGTTTCAAAGTAATTATGTGGACTTTGAAAACAGCCGGTGAGGCCAGGCTTTTTAGGAAGAAAACTCACTTAGAAACGGAGGACATGGACTTCGGCGTTATAAACACATAAAGTTCAAATCCCGTCGTTTTCATTTGCTAACTCCGTACTCTTAACTTTTTATAGGAAGTCTTAGTCTTGTGAAGTACATGTTTTTACAACATTTTATTATGAAAAAGTCAAATATTCAAAACACAAAGGAAAGAGTAGATGCAACTGCTTGCATCCATTATCCAGAAGTGTACTCTTCATTCAAATATTTTAAATGATATTATATGGCAGTATCTTGAATTGACTTATTTTATTGTCTCATGGGTAATCTTTTTACGTTTATTTAAATAGGTGTTTATTTAAGGGTGTGTTGCCATTTTAATCATTTATTATATGATGTGTTATTTGTAAAATATGGTTATTTCACAGTAGTATATTGTTGTTCACATAAGATGAGTATTTGTAACTGAATTTACACCTCGATTTTTTTGTACAATAATGTTCATTAAAATGGTGGAGATTTTCAACAAGACAATTATAAGTACTTTTCATAATGTGTTGAATCAGAAGAGTTTTTATGTTATTTAACTAGTAAGTAAAGTGTTGTGATGAGTACAAAATGAATTAGTAGTTTTAGAAAAGCACTCATTTTTTATTATCATGCAGTCAGATCTTGTCAACGGGGATATTACTTTTGTTTTTATATAAATTTTCTTTCCTTGATTTAAGTTTTTAATTAAAAAAATACAGAACTTTCATGCTTTCCACTTGAACTTTCGAGTAACACTGAAGTCCACACTGAAAGTCATTTCTATTCAAAAGTATTTGTGCCTTTAAAACTATTTGTAAAAATATTTTAGTTGACTTTATATGTGAGTGGATTTCATTTTCTTCATTAATTTAAATTTCCCAGTAGCAGTTTTTTAAAGGATTTATCATTCATTCAGGCAAGAGTGTCATCAGTAATGTAATGATATAATGCAATCAATGACACAATATTATAAAATCATACAATACAATCAGTAGAGAGAATGAAAGACCTTACGGTTGATAATTTTGATCTATCACTGTATAGTTCTATTATATTCTCAACTTCTCAGATCAAATAATTTGGTGTTCAATTTCTAAGACATGCCAATCCCCCCCACCTCCCGTCCCCACTCCCATTTTAATAGCTTGCAAAATGTCCTGTGCTTCTTGGATGAGCAGTTAAGTAGTTAAGATTTAAGATAACCTTTTGATTGCGGAATATTTTATCTCTGTATTTTTCGGTGAAGCTTTGCACGAAGAATTAGGTTGCCAGTTAAGTTCTCTACGCGTGTTCTAGACAGTGGTATCGTTTCCGTTTTGTCAGCCTTCTCACGGTTCTCCTGCTGCTGCTTTGTGTCCTCTGTTCCTTCGTTTCCGTTTCCCTTTCCTTCTTTGTCTTCCCATCTTTGCTTTTAGGTCAACGTTGACTGGGTTGGTCTCAAATAGCTAGTTGTTTGAGGGATGCACAGTGATATTGTTTATGTTATAATCCAATCGCTCGTTTGACTGAAAGTAGATCTTGGAAGTAGTTTCAGTTTTAGGTAAAAAAGGTTTTTTTTGGTTGTTGTTTTGCAGTCAAATGTGTAACCACTGTACCACCAGGGATCCTGAAACTGTCTATTTTTTGGTGATTGTTATTCATCATTTTATTGGGGGGCTTTTACAAATCTTATGACGATCTGTCATTCAGTTGTATCAAGCACACTTGTACATACGTTGCCATCAACATGTCCAAAACATTTTCTTTCTACTTGAGCCCTTGGTATCAGCTCCTCTTTTTTCCCCCTCCCTCCACCACCTCATACCCTCATGAGTCCTTGGTCAATTGTTGTTATTTTATGTCTTTATTTCATGTTGTTATTTCATGTCCTTTTAAAAAGGCATTTTATGGCGATAATATTGGGAATGCCACGACTCTCTATCAGTCCAGTGAGTTTGGCTGTTTCTGTTGTTGTAAGCTTGTGTTCCATTCTGTGTTTTATCTGATTTGTAACTGGCCTTCCATTGTGTCCCTGGTTCAAACGGTTGGCAGGGCAGCCAGGCACCAGCTAGTTCTGCCATAAGCTCAGAAGAAACTGGTTCGTGTGAATTCGTTTTTTTCCTCTAGTCTTTGGTTTCCTTCATTCTGCTTTTCTCCAGATACGTAGGGGCTTGCAGTTGTGTCTTGGAGGGCAGCTCCAGATTGGGCCAGGCCCCAGTCCCCGTTCACCGAACTAGGGCATAGAACAGTAACTTTAGGAACTAGGTTATGCCTAGTGACCATGAGAATGTTTCACCTTCTACTCATCTAGCTGTCTTGTCTTCATATATTATGCTATCAGTGGCATTGTTTTGATGATAGAAGTTAATTTGCTCATTGTAGGACACCGAGAAAATGAGCTGGCGTTGACAAAGTGAAATGTAAGCTGCTTTCATCACCCAGGTTTAAACACTGCCTATGGTTTTTCTTTAAGCATTTCATATTTATATGTGCATTTTGAAAACAATAAAATTGAAAGTGTTTTGTATATAGAAGTATGTACCTTGTTTTTCTCTTAACTTTACATGCTGAATATTATTTGTTAAACAAATATTCTTCACAGCTGTCATTTAAAATGACTGAATGTGTTGCCTTTCCTTCATCATCTATTTAATTTTTCTTACATGTTCATTTTTTGTTTGGAGTTAGAAAAAAAAGCAGTAAAGAAAATCATGATCTCAAGTAAGACAGCTTTTATTTAAATCTCTCTTTGGAAGATTAGGAGCCCTGGTGGGGTAGTGAATATGTGTTGGGCTATGATCCGAACAGTCAGCAGTTCAAAACCACCAGTTACAACATAGGAGAAAGAGGAGGCTTTTTTGTCCTGTAAAGAGTCACAGTGTCAGAAATTCACAGGAGCAATTCTAACCTGTCCTATAGGGTTGCCATGAGTTGGCATCAACTTGAGTGAGTGTTAGAACATTAAACATTTCTAAAATATCCCTTGTGATGGGCAATGGACAATGTCTGAAAACACTGCCAATTGTTCTCAAAGTGCAGGTAATTTTTAGACAAGGCATTACAAATTACAGTATATCTCTGTATAATAAATATTGCTCTTTAATGCAAAGCTTATATGACAATTCAAGTCAATAAACCGTTTGAGTAGCTTCTCTGTGCCATCCTCTCCCCTAAGTACTGAGCATAAAGATTTGAGGAATCCCCAACCTGGAGGTACACGGAGGATCTAAGTAAGAGAGGCGGACGATGCCTTACAGAAACCCAGAGTCGCGGTGATGCCAGGAGGGGAAGGGGAAGGCGAGGGGGAGAAAGGGGAAACGGATCACAATGATCAACATATAACTCCCTCCCAAGGGGGCAGGCAACAGAAAAGTGGGTGAAGGGAGACAGGTTGGTGTAAGACATGAAAAAAATTACTAAATTATCAAGGGTTCAAGGGAGGGAGTGGGGGGGAGGGAGGAAAAATGAGATGATACTAAGGGCTCAAGTAGAAAGAAATTGATGATGGCAACTTAGGTACAAATGGGTTTGACACAATGGATCTTTGTATGGATTGTGATAAGAGCTGTAAGAGCCCCCAATAAAATGATTTAAAAAAGACAGAAAGAGGCATTTTTGAAGA